GGAGGAGGGAGAAACGTGGGATGGAGAAAGGAGGAGGAGGGAGAAAGGAGGACGAGGAGGGAGAAAGGAGGAGGAGGGAGAAACGAGATTGAAAGTTGGAGGATGGAGAAAGGAGGAGGAGGAGGAAATGGGGAGGAGGGAGAAACATGGGATGGAGAAAGGAGGAGGAGGGAGAAAGGAGAAGGAGGAGGAAACGGGGAGGAGGGAGAAAGGAGGAGGAGGGAGAAACGTGGTACGAAGAAAGGAGGAGGGGTGTAAGAGGAGGAGGAGGACGAGGGAAAACATGGAGGAGAAGGGACAATGGGGGTGCGAGGAAGAAAGGAGGAGGAGGGAGGAGGGAGGATGTAGGGAGAGAATAAGCAACCTCGTAGGATCCGCTGTTTCTGATGCATGCAGAGGGGGGAGGACGGTGGAGGCGAGAGGGAGCACGAACATCGACGGGGGTGGAGGAGGAGGGAAGGAGGTGATGATGGAGAGGGCGATGATGTTGAAGTTGCTGTGTGCATGCTGGAAGAGTGAAGTGTGCCGACTGTGATTTCAGTCTCGTTTATTGTTTCTTTTACTGTTTCTTTTTTTCTTGCAAATTCTGTAATGTTCTCAAACTGCTAGGCCACATCATGGAATGTGCATTTTCTGATGCATGATGCTTGTTGTTGCGCAGATGCAACTTTGTCGTCCTTCGTCACTGCCTGCAACTCCACGACCGTGGTGAGAAGTTTTGGGGTTCGAGACCGTGCCTTCGTCTTCTTTTTGTTCTTGTCCTTCTTTTCTTCTTCTTCTTTTCTTCTTCTTCTACTTCTTCTTCTTTTTTAACTTCTTTTTCTTCTTCTTGTTCTTGTTCTTCATCCTCTACTTCTTCATCCTCTACTTCTTCTTCTTCTACTCCTTGTTCGTCGAGGTGCTAGCCATGGCGTCAACAAGCGGGACGAGCAGCGTAGCGGGGAAGGGAAAGGAGAAGGCGAAGGCGAAGGGCACTGCACCGCCATTTGAAGCACAACCGGAACAACGACAGAAGGACTTGGAGCGGGACAATGTCGTGTACCGGTGGATAGAAAGGGGACAGGAAGCAGAACCGAAGGGGTATGGCCGATATTGGGTACAGTGCAAGTTGTGCATGAAAACGTTCACAGCATCGAAGACCCCGGCAGTGGAGCACTTCGTTAGAAAGGGCAAAGCTTCAAAAACATGCCCGTACAGAAGTGGGGAGATGTTGCATCTATTGGCGCTGCGAGGGGCCACCATCGAGGGAGATGCAGCTAAAAGAATGCTTCATGAGTATAGGGTCGAAAAGGGCATTGCGGAAGACACGAGGATGGAGAGAACGGGGAAGTCGACAAGAGCAAGGTGGACAACATCGAGCAGCACTTGCAGCCACCTCCGGCACCTAGTCGGGAGGTGCGAACAATGGAGGAAGAGAACGTGTGTGGGCCGCAGGAGCCAGAAGTCAGGACTCCTGTGCCGCCTTCTTGTGCGGGGTCTTCATCTGCGGCGAAGTCCGTGAAGACCACACAGACGTCCATCCGTCGGTGGACAGAGAACACTGCACAGAAGAGGTTGGACACGCAATGGGGAAGGGCACTTTTTCGGTCTGGCGTGCCCTTCAATTTCGTTCGCGTCGACGAGACGAAGGCCCTCCATGACTTATACATGGAGTTAGGCAAAACGAAGGCGAAGGTCGAAATGCCCACCTTCGACACATTGCGAACCGTGATTTTGGATGCCGTGTACGAGGATGTCAAAACAGCGGTGCAACCCCTGATCGACGAGTGGGACATCTCGGGATGCACTCTGATCACGGATGGCACAACTGATCGCAAGTGGTGGCCAGTTTTGAACTTCATTGGCGCAGGGGCCAGTGGAGCTGTGTTGCTGAAGGTAGTCGACATGTCCCATAGGAAGTCCAACGCCGCTGCGATTGCAAAGCTATGGGAGGAGGTTATCAGGGAGATCGGGGTGCACAAGGTGAACGCAATTTGCACGGACAACGCTCGCGTCAACAAACGAGCGGCGAGGATCTTATCACGGAGTACAGATCCAGATATTGCGAATCCCTTGGGTCCCGTGCGCCGCCCACACACTTAGATAGTGAAGAGGGCGAAGATGATGGTGAAGTTCATCAAGAACCACCATTGCACAGTGTCTTTGTTCTCTGCGTGCTCTTTGGAGGAGAAGAAGACACTGGTCATGCCCACGGAGGTGAGGTTTGCGTCAACGTTTGAGATGTTGAACAGATTGCACGATAGGCGGGGTGTGTTGGAGAAGATGATGGACAAGGGATGGAAGAACATCCATTGGAGCTCGAGGGAACTTCGGGAAAAAGCGGACAAGATCTACCACACTGTCCGATCGAGTCGGTGGTGGGAGGAGGTATATCGGATTGTCATCCTTATGCGGCCAGTCAGCGAGCTCCTCAGGCGGATGGACCGCGATGGTGTGGCACCTTCATCTCTGTGGGGGTTTGACGAGATTCTCCGAGGTCGCTTGCGGAGCATCGGTGGCATCACAAAGGAGCAGCAACAAGAGATCATGAAGATTGTTAATGACCGCTGCAAGATGATGAGGCAGCCGGTGCACGYWGCRAATTTCTTGATGTCCCCGACAAGAAGGGACCCGCGTTGGGTGTTGGACAAGAACACCCCCCTTGTTCACAACGCCATTCAACATCTGATGTCGCAGCTCGGGGGAGACAGATGGGATTCAGAAGAAAGTCATGTGAATGTTTCGCAAAGTCTCTGGGCGTTCCATCAAAAGCCACCGAAGGAGCTTTGTGAAAAGGAGCCCATGTGGGACAGATTTGGGGTGGCCGACTGCTCGTTGACGTGGAAGACAGCATCGCCGTGGTGGTCGTCGTATGGGGGGAATCACCCGGAGCTGCAGAAGATTGCCACAAGGGTGACGGCCATGTGGAGCACAGCCACACCTTGCGAGAGGAGCTGGTCGTCGTTGGACCTTGTTCACACTAAGAGGAGGAACAACCTATCGAGTGCAAGTTTGGCGAAGTTGGTTTATGTCCACTGGAACATGCAGCTCCAGTGCATCCCCAAAAGCTTGAAGGATGGGTTTGTGGATGTTTGGGCATCATTCTTTGATGAGCCAGAGGCTCCGTTACCGAATGATGATCCGATTCTCCCCGACCCTTTGGTGGAGGACGAGGAGCTGAGGAGGCAATCCAACTTGAGGAAGACTCCGAAGGGGAGGATTCCAGCTGGAGGGGGCTTGGAAGACTCGGACACGGAGTCAAGCGACGAAGAGATCATATGGAGCAGAAAACCGCGCGAAACGAGAGCTTCACTGCCAAGATCAGCAAAAGGGAAGGATGTTGTTGACCTTTGCAATGTTGAGTCGGAGGAGGACGACGAGGACGTGGACGAAGATGGAGATGGTGAAGAGGAGGACGCGGGATATGACCCTGACTTCGTTGACCTTCCACGAACACATCACAACGACAAAAAAAACAATGCGGCGTTTCAAGACGGGAGCGATTTTGAGTGCTGGACCGCAGAGCAGCAGTCATGTGCGCTGCCATCAACCTCCCATGACAATGCTGACAGGGCTGCAACAAAAGCCTTGGCAGAGGGACGAGACCAGCTTCTTGTGCAACAACGCATTCGGGAGGAAGAAGCGCGTCGTGAGGCTGCCCCCTTTCGTTCGAGAGCACGTCTTCCCCTACGACCACCGCCTGTACAAGACATGCTTGTTGACGAGCAGCAGCAGCAGGAGCCGTCGCAGCAGCAGGAGATGACGGCGCAGCAGCAGCAGGAGCAGGATTTCATTGCGCAGCAGCAGCAGCCCGTGCAGGTGGAGCAGCAGCAACCCGTGCGGGTGGAGCAGCAGCAACCGGTGCATGTGGAGCAGCAGCACAAGCAAGTTGTCGAGTGTGAACATTCGACGCAGGTGGACGCGCGGGATAGAGGGGTGGAGGTCCAGCAACAATCCGTCGTGCAGCAAGGACAGCCTGTCCAGCAGCAACAACAGCAACCTGTGCAGCAGCAGCAGCAGCAGCCTTTCCAGCAGCAGCACCAGCACCAGCAGCAAGAGCGGGAAGAACATGCCCAGCAGCAGCTTGTGCATCCCCAGCAGCAGCAGCAGAATGTCGAGCAGCAGCAGCAGCAGCAGCAGCAGCAGCAGCATGTCCAGCAGCAGCACCAGCAACAACCTGTCCCGGAGCAGCAGCAGCAGCAGCCTGTCGAGCAGCAACGGCAGCAGCATGTCGAGCAGCAGCAACACCAGCAACAACCAGTCGAGCAGCAGCAGCAGCAGCCTGTCCAGCAGCAGCACCAGCACCAGCAGCAAGAGCGGGAAGAACATGTCCAGCAGCAGCTTGTGCATCCCCAACAGCAGTGAGCGGTCACCGCAGAGCAACGACACGTACACGACACGGCCCAGATTTTGTTCGGGAAGGGGGGGGCACAGCAGCAAGAGCACCCGGAGCGACAAGCAATGCAGCAGCACGTTGAGGTGCAGCAGGCGGTGCCGCAGGAGCGTGTGTGCCCTCCACCGCCATTGCCAGAGCTGGATATGAATCTTGTCCACGACAACATTGATGTAAGCAGGGCGGGCAGGAAGAGGAAGACGATTATGGAACCCCCCCTAGCTCCATTGGTGAAGCGTGGTAGAGGCAGACCCAGAAAAGGGAGAAGGAAAATCTGCACCCCTGCCACCTCGCCCTCCCACGGGAAGGGTGAAGCGCGCACAAACGGGAAAGGCGACGACCACGCGGCATTGGCAGGTCCTTGAGGATGATCCCACTGGAACAGAGGACGGTAGTGACGAAGAGGGGGGTCGGGAAGAAGACCCGGACTGGAAGTAGGAGAGAGAGAGAGAGAGAGAAGGAGCGAGAAGGAGAGAGAAGCAGAGAGAAAACACCTCCTCATCCCCATCATGCATCTTTTCTTTTTCTTCTTCTTCCGCTTCGTCTTCTTTTTTTTCCTGCAAATAGGCAAACATGGCAAAGTTGAACATTGCAGACCATGGCAGTCTCTAGAGATGGAATCTAACCGTGAGGCACCCGCATCCTTCTTGTGCATGTTGTTTATCTTCTTCTTCTTCTTCTTCTTCTTCTTCTTCTTCTTCTTCTTATGCTTCTACTTCTTCTACTTCTTCTTCTTCTTCTTCTTATGCTTCACCATGAAACAGTGCCTAACAATCGGTGCTACACCCCGAAACAGTGCCTAACAATGGGTGCTGCACCCTCAAACAGTGCCTAACAATGGGTGCTACACCCTCAAACAGTGCCCAACAATCGGTAGATCACAAAGGAGCAGCTACAGGCCGCAATTGTCAAATTTGAGCCCCACAAGTCGACATTTGGGCCCTGTGCAAAAACAGGCCTCCCAGCGTTGGAATTTTTGAGCCGCGTGCAGAAAATAAAGAGTCAGGTCCGACTGACTCGGACTGAGACATTCTGCAAAGTCCTAAAAGCAAAGCATTTGGAAAACGCGTAACCGAAGGGACACAAGGAACAGACACCTGAAACGGTATTCACCAGTTCGCGGTAGCGAATGCAGATCCCAGGGCTCGATCCCTAGATCCCCGTCTTACCTGTGTACAGTATCAGTGTCAACCCGTAGACTTGAACCTGCGACCTGTAGGAACGCCAGTGGTAGGCATTTAGTCGTAGGTCACAGGGTAGAAGGGAATCGAACTGTAGACCTATAGATTAGGAGTCTAGACAGTTCCGAAGGGGTAGCTGTAGGCTGCTTGAGGAGTCAAGGTCATAGCTGCTACTTACCTGAAAGGGCAAAGTCGTAGCTGCTACAGKRCCGAAGGGCCAACGTAGAGGTTTCTAGAACTGGCCTTTCGGAGTTGGCCTGTGTTCAGCAGAGGCAAGTGGTCAAGTGGTGGTAGTCCACCTAGCCCAGTCAGCAGTTCCAGGTAGCCCAATCCGGTCCAGTCAAGCAAGTACCGTCTGGGACTGTGCACATCGTGGGCCGAGGGATACAGGGCAGACCAACGCAGCGCAGAAGTATAAATCAAGAGGCTGCGTCCAGCCATTCATTCATTCCTGCGGATGCCATGCGGAAGCGCTGCCTCAGCAGCTTGTGCGAGGAGGTCTGCAGTGCGCCCGAAGACGAAGAGGGCAGTGAAGTGTAGTGTAGCGATAGGATAGTGGCAGCCATAGCTGCCATAGCTATAGTAGTGTGTGTGTGTGTGTGTGTGTGTGTGTGTTGCGTGTGGGACATCCAGGGTGATCCAAAGTGCGAACAGTGAGTTGTGTGGGCGCTCAGTCGCCATAGCCAGTTTGAAGGGAACTCCTACCTGGTTACGATATCTTTGAGTATTGTGTGGGCGCATGTCGCCAGTTTGCTGTTTCGCTGTTTGCATGCATGACAAGTGTGAAGAAGTCGAGTCTGATTGCACACCTCTGCAAAGCTACTTTGAAAAGGCACAATACAAAGCGAAAGGGCACGACATAACTCACCTGTTGGTCGCAGCTCCCACTGGTGACGAGCACAACCTCAGAAAGGCACGAGGCATCTAACACACTGTGGAACAGGCCACGAGGGTTGGTACCAAGTTGTACTACCAACTGATCAATGAAATTCGTGACGGACTGCAACAGGCCGAAAAATGTGCACAAATGCACATTCGGGCAGTACAAGCCAAGCACAAAAACATTACCCAAAAAAAAAAAAAAAAAAAAAAAAAAAAA